GCTAGAGCCTATCTGTGGAAGAATGAGAAGAGCTATTTGGCTAGTGTGGGGTTGGGTGAGGAGAGCCTCAGGATAGTGGCCCTAGGCCAACAACATCAGCAGCATTCAGCTCCAGCCCAGATTTATCCAATTAGAAACTGGGGCTAGTGCACAGAAATCTATAGTTTGACAAGAGCTGCTAGTGATTCTGATGCAGTTAAAGTTTGAAAATCAATGCCTTAAGAAGTAAATTGAGCATCAGATGAAGCTATTCTTACAAATTTAATTTCAGGCTGCTATACAAGATGAAAAGAAATGTGAAAAAAGGATTATGACAGAAAGAGAGTGAGAGAGTTCTCTTTCTCTCACACCCCAAAATAAATTACAAACTAAAATACTAAAGTAAAAAATGCAACCAGACATTGGATAGAAGAAAAGATTATGTCAGCATAAGGCCAATAATAGAATCTGTAAAGGAAAAGATTAATAGACACGATTTCACAACAATTTAGAACATTTGCACCATTAACAAAATTGAAAAGCAAACAACAAACTAGAAAAAAACATATGCAATATACATATATATATATTTCCTTTGGCACATATATATATATATATATATATATATATATATCAGGTAAAAGGCTAAATAAAAATTTCCACTTTCTTTAAAAAGATAAATAGTGGGGTGCCTAGGTGGCTCAGTTGGTTAAGCATCCGACTTCAGCTCATGTCCTGATCTCATGGGTTCATTGACCCCGTGTTGCGCTCTATGCTGACAGCTCAGAACCTGGAGCCTGCTTCGGATTCTGTGTCTCCCTCTCTCTCTGCCCCTCCCCTGCTCGTTCTCTGTCACTCTCTGTCTCTCAAAAATAAATAAATGTTAAATTTTTTAAAAATTTATTATTCAAATAGCCTGTAGAAAACTGGACAAAGGACACAAACTGAAAATTCTCAAGAGAAATACAAATGGCCAAAAAAATGTGAGAAAATATTCAAGTTCACAAAAAACAAATATAAATTAAAATAGAATACTGTATTTTATTTACCACATTAGCAAGCATTTTTTAAAAATAGAAATAACCAAATCATCTACTCTTTAACTGTATGGGTGCCATTAACATTAATAGCCTAAAGAATATTCATGCTATATTTGAGTGGGGGGGGGGGGAAGCTGTTATAGAATAACATAAACAATAACATCCAAAGTTCTAAAACGATCTAAATCTAGATGGGTATAGATTTTTAAAAATGTACAGCTCTTGAGCAAAATGTTACCGTTGGTTAGCTCTGGGTTGTAGGAATGTGATACTTTTTCTTTTGCTACTCATACTTTTCTATTGTCTCTATTATGTGATAAAAATGCATACCTTTTCTAATCAGGAAAAAAATTAAGCTATGCTACAAATGTGATTTCAAAAAGTTGGAAGAAAGGATGATTCAATACCCCTTCTGTCAAAATTATAGAAGATCACAAACTCTACAATTTGGTACTCATGAGATCTGAGGGTTTCATCCCTGCTACCACCACCCTCCCTTTAAGAGGAAGGAGAGGAAAAGGGAGAGGCAAAAATTAAACTCGAAAACAAACTCCAGCTAGTCAAAGACGATCAAGTAGCCTCTGATTTGTGATTATGCTAAAGGACATGTAAACATTGTGATATTTTTATTTACTTCTCTAGTTAAGAGGAAATAGTGTGGGTTTGTTTGTTTGCTTGTTTAAATAATGCGCTGGGGTGAGGGGTGGGAGTTTGCTCTCACTGCAAAATGTTTTGAATTAAACCTTCAGCCTAGAATGTAATGATTTCCTTCGGGACAAAGCTAAGCATGAGCAAAACAGTAACTTAAAATGGTCCCATACCACCCCCTTGTGGCTTCCACTGTGTCACATCCGGAAACAGCCCAGACTGAGAGGAGAGAACAATGCATACCGCTCTTCATAAATTCAACAAACATGTGTCCGTTCTCTAATCGGTGGCAGGTACTAACTATACTAAGATTAAAAGACACCACTAGTTCATAGCAGCACTCTCCACAATAGCTAAAACATGGAAAGAGCCTAAGTGTCCATCAACAGATGAATGGATCAAGAAGATGTGGTTTATCTATACCATGGAATACTACATGGCAATGAGAAAAAAAGAAATCTGGCCATGTGTAGCAGCACAGATGGACCTTGAGGGTGTTATGCTGAGCGAAATAAGTCAGGCAGAGAAGGACAAATATCATATGTTTGCACGTATAGGAGGATTAGGAGGAACTTGACGGAGGAACAAGGGGGAGAAGAAGGGGGGAAATGGTGGGGGAAAGGGAGAGAGGCAAACCATGAGAGACTCTTGAATGCTGACAAAAACTGAGGACTGATGGATGTGGGGGGGGGGGGGATGGGCATGGAGGAGGGCACTTTGGGGATGAGCACTGAGTGTTATGTGGAAACTAATTTGACAATAAACTATTTGAAAAAAAAAAAAAGACACCACTAAATCTCTTCTTACTTTATTCAGGCCATGCCGGCATTCATAAACATTCACTTATTTGTGCTGAGCATACACTTAAAAGTTGAGGTCATAGGGGCGCCTGGGTGGCTTAGTGGGTTAGGCGTCCGACTTTCGCTTAGGTCATGATCTCACGGTTCGTGGGTTCGAGCCCCGCGTCGGGCTCTGTGCTGACTGCCAGCTCAGAGCCTGGAGCCTGTTTCAGTCTGTGACTCCCTCTCTCTCTGACCCTCCCCTGTTCACGCTGTCTCTCTCTCTCTCTCTCTCCTAGAAATAAAAAATAATTTTTAATAATAATTTAATAGTAAAAAATTTTACTATTAAAGATTAAACATATGACCACATTTGTACGCTTGCACAGAGATCTTCATTTTTGAAACCGTGTGCACAAGTTGACTTATGCTTGTTCAATTTAATCCTCTCTACATCTGCTCATAGAAGCTCACAGTCGGAAAAAGAATTAAATGATTTAATCCAATCCCCTATAATTTCACATTCATTCCACCGGGATTTCTAGAACCAAGGATTCCCGCTGAAGCCTAGTAACGACTCAACAATCTTCAAGATTTTCACCGTTTTGCCCTGGAGAACGGCGTCACAGCCCTGCGCAGTTCTTCGAAGGGGCCTCGGTAAAACCGTGACTCGGCTGTGTCTCTGTACATCCGCAGCAAGCATCTGCCACTCTGGGGTTGAAATGCCATTTGCCACGCCTAACCAGCGCCAGACCGCTCCAGCACGCCCCCTGGAGGAGCCGGGTGGGAAAGGAGCCGCTGCCTCGCTGCGCTGCTCCCACTTCTCGAGGGGCAGGAGGAAGGTCTGAAAGCCCGCCGCGGGGGAGTCCCCTCGGCGGCCCCGTCGGGAGCGATTCTAGGGAGTGGAATCACCCGCTCCGCTAGGGAGGGGCGGTACCCGCCCGGAAGAGGCCTGCGGCGGCGCAGAGGTGCCAGCAGGGGGCGCGGGCCGCTGGGCCACCCCCGGGGTTAAAGGCCGGTGGTCCCTCCCAGGTCTGGAGTGCGGCGTGGACGGGCCGCGGGATCCGCAGCGCACCCCCCCCCCCCCCGCCGCGAGCCCCCGCCCCCGAGCCCTTACTCTCACCTCGTCACCTCCCCGCCCAGTCGGCGGGCCCCTGAGGTGCGCGGCGCAGGCGCGGAGCGAGGCGGTGAGTGCGGCCGCCGAGCCTGGGCCTGGGGCCTGGCGGGCAGGGCGTGAGGCGCGCGGGAGGGAGAGGGGCCGGCCCGGAGCAGCGCCCGGGAGCGCGAGGCCGCAGCGGCGCGGCCCCTCCGCCCGCGCTCGGGCGCCTCGGCCGCCGCCGCCGCCTCGGAGCTGTGCTTGGGCTGGTGGACAGGCCCCGGCGTCCCGGTGAGTGTGAGGGAGGAGCGGGCCGGCGGAGTGCGGGCACAGCCTCCCACGCGGGAGGGCACGGAAGACCGGAGGGCGTCTTTTAAACTGAAAGCCTGCCTCCGTTTTATGGCGGGATGCCGGCCCCTCCCCCATCCCGAAGGCAGTTCCACCTCCCGCGGGGGACGCCTAGGCCCCCTGCGGCTCTTTGCCTTATGGCGCCTCCGGGGCCGGCGTTTGGGAGTCCCCGCTGGTCGCCCGGCCCCTGTGGGCCCGGCGCGTGGCGCGGGCGTGGAGGCGGCTGGGTCGCGGAGGCTCCTGCGCGGCCGCTCCGACGGGCACGTCCTCCGGCGGCTGGGCTCCGGGGCTCCGGACCCCGGTCGGTAGGCCCCCCCCCCCCCCCCGGGTCGTGCTGCTCCGTGGTCGTGCGCGGCGGCATCGAGACCCTCTGGCAGCGCGTCCCTTGTTCGCCCTCGAGCCGCAGCCAGCAGGCGTCGGTGCTGGCGCTCCAGTCTCCGGCGGTGGCCTCGGCCCCCCGTTCGGGTGCTTGTAACACCCCTTTAGGTTTTCTTCTTCAGTACAACCTGGGACGCAAGTAATTTGAAGCAGTTCTCTCTTTGCAGAGATAAAAATGTGTATTTCAGGAAAGACTGACACTCAAGTTGGGCATAACGGTTCTAGTTCAAAAGCTCTTCCTGAAACATTTTTATGTTTCAATTCTTTTGAATTCTGGGGAGTATACGCTTATTTTGAAATGAGGCTAGGAAAGAACTTGCTTTTAAAACGCTGTTGTAAAAATGGAGCTTTTGATTTTAAATTTACCTTATTTTAATAACTACTAGAGAATGTTTACATTGCGTGAAAGGCCTTAAATGTTGATCTGTTTGATATAGGTACTGCCTGCCTGTTATGTGGTGTGTTGTACAGACATTATTATTGAAAAACATGACAGGTGGAAAGACACTGATATGGACTTTGTAAGTTGCTTTTTTAAAAAAAATGTTTCATGTGGCAAACATGAAACATAGACATTTTTGCAAAAATGTACAATGTATGTATATACATTAACATAGGAAAATGCCTAGATGTCTATACCCCACAATGCTAATGGTTGCTCGCCGTGAGTAGATTCTAGGTGATTTAATTAAATTAAATTAGTTCCTAAACCTTTTCCTAAGTTTTCTGCAGTGACATGTATTACACGTGCAGTTTAAGTGGGGAAGAGGGAGTGAATGATAAGTTGCCTGTGATTCAGAATCTTCCGCATGAGAGGAAAACTAGTGAGCAAGTGTTTATATGACATCTCTGAGTAAAAAGCCAAACTTCTTCATCAGGTTAGTTATGGCTACAAAAAGCCCATAAGAATAGTTGCCGAAATGAAGGATGGTTAGCAGTTTATAGGTTGAGTAGGCATCTTAGCATCATGCTGAAAGGAGGTCTGATAAATGTTTGGATATTGTTCAGCCCTGAGTCAGAGTCAGACCTTTCCTGATCAAGATGATCCTATTCCTCTCACCTGAATCCAGGCCAGCTTGCAACAATTTTAATGCCATGCATGGTTTCCTTTCCTTACTTTTTCATTCTTCAAGTTGGAAAGAATTTGAAGTGTATTCTGAAATCTCAAGAGGCACCTTTAATGTTTAGCTGACAGGTTTAGAGCATTTAAAACATGAAGTGTGATGCTCTGGACTATATAAATTCTAGAAGTGTACAGAAGAGGTATTAGGAATAAGTCTTGAAATTTTAGTTTACTACATAATGTGAAATTTTTATTTTTAAATGCGCTTGACTGGGAAGGGTTAAGGAATGGTATTTCTGTTCAGTGAAGCATGATAGATTGATCGATAGATAGATAATTTCTATAAATCTCACTGTTGTCAGTTTCTTTGGGTGATTCCCTTCCCTTCCTCCCAATGGGTGACTAAGAAAGAATTGGAACCAAGATGTGAATTACTGGTAATAGTGATTAGCAGTGAAAATTACTTACACAGAGTTAGTTGTCCAAAACTCAAAAGTCAGAAGATAATTCTTTTTCATCATCTCTGGTTCTGCAACTTAGAGGACTTGACTTTCACTGAATCTGTTTCCTCATGAGTAAAATAAGAGGGAAATGCTCAATAAACTAAAAAGCACTGTCTTATTACTGTATGATCACATCACCTGTAGTGTTAATTAATATATACCCAGAACTTCGTGAGACAGCAAGACAGTATGGTGTACTTGAGGTTCTTTATCGTTAGAAATCAGATGGTCTCAGTGGTACCAAGTTCTACCTGCTATATATATCGCTTTGATGGTAAGAAAAGCAGCATGTAAAGCTGGTGGAGAAAACTTCAGTTTCTTTTTCTGACATTTCTTACTTGCCCACTTCTACAGTGAAGGAACACTAACCTGAAATGGAAGAGGTAGTTCTGATTCTGACACTAATCTGTTACTTGAATTGAACTTAGAGCATTTAAAACGTGAAGTATGATGCTCATGATGTTACTTGAATTTTATCTCCCTATTTGTTTTCAAAGCATGTGCTTTAAAATTAGATCTTTATTCAAATTCCAACTCTACCAGTTATTAGAATTGCCTTTAATCTTTCTATGCCTCAGTTTCCTCATCAATAACAAGGGCTAAATAATTTTGAGAGAGTTTTGTGTATTTTTCATATTATAGGATTAAATACGATAAAGTATGTGCACAGCCTGGTACATAATTGGTGCTCAATAAGTGGTCATTGTTCTTATATTGTTAAATAATCAATAAGGATTTATACAGCTTGAAGTCTGATTTGGTTTGCTTTCATTGTATTTGCTTTCATTATGGCTGAATAAAGTAGGCAGATTTATATTCCTGCTTTGATGTTCAAATATAGCTATAGCTTTAGAAGATAAATTGATTTCAAAGAAATATGACACATATATACTCATACTTATCAATTTTTAATGCTTAATACTATATATCCAAAAGCTTATTTATACTTAAAAAAAAAAAGCTTATTTATACTTGAATGATTTCCATATAATTTTCCATTTAATTAAAGACCTGGTGCCATTGTATTCTTGAGTCTCAGAAGTGAACTACATTTTTGCTTATATGACTTCTGTTGTGTTTTTTCGTACAGGCATTTTTTACCATCTGTGAAAACTTCCCTGTAATTCATTCTCCTTACCACACTATTAAGAATTATACCAAGTAAGTGGAATGTGGCAAAACCAATTAGTCAATTTTATAACAGTCCATGGGAGTTCAGTCACTTAATGATGATTTGATTAATCATTTGATCAAATGATTAATTATTAAATGATTGCTACCTGTTTTGTTCTCAGTAGAGTGTTGAATGTGACCTTACAACTAAGAAAAGGATTGAAGTCAGAAGATTGATAAAGATTTGCAACAATATTTTTTGAAGGGATATAATAGCTTGAAAAGCTGTATTAAAATATTCTCAATTATAAGAAATGTACTTGTTTTATTCTTAATATGGTACCATAAGAACAATTTTTTAATAAAAACTACAAGTACAACTTACTGTATTGTCCAGTTCTCACAATTATATCAGCATTTGAAATGGATTGCTCAACCTCACCAAGAAAAAAACAAGCAAACAGATATTGGTGTCCTACTTTTAAACTTGATCAGAAAAATAAATCCAAAATATAAATGGAGGTATTATTTAACATATCTCTTAGAAAGTAGATTTTCAAGTGGCACACACATTTCTTATTGCCAATAAATTCTTTGGTTACGTGGAATTTTTATAAAATACTAACAGTCTTTATTTTTGATACTGTTGTTAAATTTTTCCATTTTTTAGTTGAAAAGATATGAATGAATATCCTAAAAAAAGAAAAAGGAAGACATTACACCCTTCTCGTTACTCAGGTCAGTAGACTGTTTTAAAGTTGGGCCATGGATTAATTCCCACACAATGGTATTCTTACCCTTTTTCTCATAAATAATCAGATAACAGTTAAATATCTGGGTCCATTTTTAGGTAAGAGAAAACTTTAAATTCTCTGAATATACGTTACTCGTTGTCTACCATGTGCTAGGCACACATTGGAACTTTACAAACATTATTTAGTACTCATAATTTAATGGTTGATAGATACTTAAAATTAGTTACCCAAGATTGCATGCTCATACAGCATACTTGAAACTTGCCTGTGTGATTCCCAAGCTTGTTCTTAAGGCACAATATTAACCTTGGTAGAAGATATTTTGCATCACTGAAGAAAAAAAATTTTTATCTTGTACATAATTTTCAGAAATGTGAACTTCCATTTTGATTGTGTTATTTTAGATCTTTTGATTGAGGTTGGCTCTTCTGTCTTGGCAGTAAGAGAGGTCTTAAGAAGTGAAGTCTTTGTGGCCATCTGTATCTCCCATACATAAGACAGTCTCTTAAGGCCTAGTTCAGTGCTTGCTAGCTCCTCCCAGACAAGACTTGAAATGACTGTTCAGAAGCCCTAACTGGTCCCCAGACCATTTCCCCTATACCTTGTGTTTTTTCATCACTATATGGCAGATCTTCTTGGTAGTTAATTCAGTATTTTTTGCAGTTAATACATTATCATGCTTATAATTTGTGGAATTCTAACTGTACGGCAAGTCTATCTTTGTGCGCTTCAAGGTGTAATATTGTTAATTGTATTATTTGTGGTTCTTTCAAAACTCAATGTTAGTATCAGATCTGAAATGTAGAAGCTTTCAGAATTGAGGGAAATATTAATACTTTTACAAATAGGAAAATTTCAAATATGAAAGTATGTTGGATAATGCGATGGTTGTTATTAAATGTATATGTTTACCTGAAATTTTTAAAATTTTGCTTTTATGTTCAGATTCCTCTGGAATAAGCAGAATTGCAGATGGATTCAATGGAATTTTTTCTGATCATTGTTACAGCGTCTGTTCTATGAGACAACCAGACTTAAAATATTTTGACAACAAAGGTATATCTAATGTTTTCCAAAATATCCTTTAAGTTGCTTCTGTGTATTTTTATTTCTTTGAAAATGTGGGTGAAAATGATAATTTCTAAGTGGGGAAGTGTTTAAATTTGTTTAAATGTAAGGAGACAAGATTTTTTGTAAGAAAACAAGTGTGTGACTTTTTCATTTTTAACGTTATTTCAGACCTATAAATAAAAAGTACATTCTCCTGAGTCCATTTAGGTGGCTAGGAACTGGTGGCAAAGCAAGACTAACCCAAAGTTGGGAGCATTTATGATGAAAGGTTAAGAATAGTATTACACACAGTTCTTTCACTTAGCTGTAGTCTACAGGGCTTTTCTAGAGCATTGGATAAATGATAATTTGCATTTGTTTTTTCTTAGCAACCATCAAAACTGCCAATTTCCTTGAACTCCTGTCATAGACACAGAAACATAAATTTTTAAAAAACATAAGGAGTTGGAGACATCTGTATGAACTCCTGTTTGGCTTAATAGAGACAGATGGTTACATACAGAGATAGCTATAGGTATGTCTGTGTGTATCTGGCAGTGTACGTAAATTTTTAGTCTGTTAGCTGAGAGGGCCTAAAAGAAATGACACCCCAATATAGGTGAGCACACCAGTACCCAGATTTTGGTTTCTAAAACCATTCTCCAATAAAAAGAACTGGTACTGGGGCACCTGGGTGGCTCAGTCAGTTGAGCATCCGACTTCAGCTCAGATCATGATCTCACGGTTGGGTTCGAGACCCACATCAGGCTCCGTGCTGACGGCTAGCTCAGAACCTAGAGCCTGCTTCAGATTCTGTGTCTCCCTCTCTCTATGACCCTCCCCTGCTCGCTCTCTCTCCCTCTTTCTCTCTCTCAGAAATAAATAAAAGCATTAAAAAAAAATTTTTTTTTTTTTTTTAAAAGAACTGGTACTTAGAGAAATGGCTGATCCTAGTTCTGAGGCAGGAAATATATGAGACTGGAGCATTTTGTAGTGCCAGAAAATAAGGAGGTACTCAAAACACACACAGACACACACACAATATACAAGTATGCCAAAGGAACATGGGCCAACTAAAAGAACTCCCAGTAGCCAAAGCTGAAACAATTTGGGAGGGGGGGGCTTATAACCCAAAGTATAAAATAAATACACCTGAGTTCATACTGATGATTAACTAAATAAGCAACAAGTTTTTTTGTTTTTTTTTTTAAGTTTATTTATTTTGAAAGAGAAAGAGAGCATGTATGGAGGAGGGGCACAGAGAGGGGGAGAGAATCCCAAGCAGGCTCCACACTTTCAGCTCAGAGCCCGATGTGGGGCTCAAACTCAGGAGCCATGAGTTCATGACATGAGCCAAAAATCAAGAGTTGTATACTCAACCAAGCAAGTTACCCAGGTGCCCCCAAGTAAGAAAAGAATTTATACAGAAGAATTCCAAATTTTTTATATGGATACTCCTCCCTCAAGGAGGTGGAACATAACTTTCCACTCATTCTTAAGTAAGGACTGCAAGCAGGGACTTCCTTCCAAAGTGTAGAGTATGAAAAGAGTGACTTTACAGCAGAGAAACCAGATAAATACTACTTCAACAGGTGACCACAGTCTGCGGTAATAAATCATGTTAATAGTGTGTACCCTGTATATGATGTGGTAAAAGTGGTAGTTTGCCTCTCTGGTCTACCTCCAGTAACCCATAATCCCAGTCTAATCAAAAAAACCATTTCATTAATGGGACATCCTATAAAATACCTGACTTGTACTCCTCAAAACTGTCATGGTCATCAAAAACAAGGAAAGTTTGAGAAACTAACAGATAACTGGCTTAGAGAGAGATGACAACTGAATGTAATGTGGAATCTTAGGATCTTGGAACAGAAAAAGGACATTACATAAAAACTAAGGAAATCTGGGTAAGTATGGACTTTAGTTAATACCATCTTATCAGTATTGGTTATTAATTGAAACAAATGTACCATCTTATTGTAAAAGAATACAGAAATTGAATGCAGGTTTTGTGGGAATGCTCTGTATAATCTCAGATTTTTTCTGAGAAATTCTAAAAATTCAAAGTCTGTTAAAAACAACACTGACATGATGTTGAAGCCCAGCTTTTCCTACTGACCTGTACTTCAGTTCCCCCATGCTAACTTTAAAACATTGGGACTGGGCTGAGGGAATAAAGGCTTATTCAAACTCAGAAATTTAAACTTAAAATTCCTAAGTAAAAGTAACTTTAAAAAGTAGATTCTAGTCCAAATGGGGAATGGAAGCAAAAACAGTTGCTTATTTGGACAGATTTTTTTGTGTGTCTGTGGCACATGGATAACATCTCTTTTCCTGGCTAATTCTAAGTCCTTTAGTTCTGTTGGAATTCAAAATTACATTTAAAACATTTAGTGCTTTAATACTAATATTTAATTTTTTGGTATAAATAATAAGTATTTTTCCAAATCTCGTTCTACAGATGATGATTCTGATACAGAGACATCAAATGACTTGCCAAAATTTACAGATGGGATCAAGGCCAGAAATAGAAATCAGAACTACCTGGTTCCTAGTCCTGTACTTAGAATTCTAGACCACACTGCCTTTTCTACAGGTAAACTCGGGAAACTAGTTAATAGCATTTATTTATTTTATATAAATTAATAAAAAATGTATAAAATAAGTTTTGTGCCATTTATTTATTCAATGTCTTATTTAGTGATAACAATAGACTTATTACATTTTTCAGAAAAATCTGCTGATATTGAAATTTGTGATGAAGAATGTGACTCACCTGAATCAGTCAACCAACAAACTCAAGAAGAGAGTCCTATAGAAGTTCACACCGCTGAAGATGTTCCAATTGCTGCAGAAGTACATGCAATTTCTGAAGATTATGATATAGAAACAGAAAACAATTCCTCTGAGAGTCTCCAAGACCAAACTGATGAGGAGCCACCATCTAAACTTTGCAAAATTCTGGACAAGAGCCAAGCTTTAAATGTGACTGCCCAGCAGAAGTGGCCTTTACTAAGAGCTAATAGCAGTGGCCTCTATAAATGTGAACTTTGTGAGTTCAACAGCAAATACTTTTCTGACTTAAAGCAGCATATGATCCTGAAGCATAAGCGTACTGATTCAAATGTGTGCCGAGTATGCAAGGAAAGTTTCTCCACCAACGTGCTTCTGATCGAGCATGCCAAACTGCATGAAGAGGATCCCTACATTTGTAAATACTGTGATTATAAAACAGTGATTTTTGAGAACCTCAACCAGCACATTGCAGATACCCATTTTAGTGACCACCTTTACTGGTGTGAGCAGTGTGATGTACAGTTCTCCTCAAGCAGTGAACTCTACCTACATTTCCAGGAGCACAGCTGTGATGAACAGTACTTGTGTCAGTTTTGTGAACATGAAACGAATGATCCAGAAGACTTGCATAGCCATGTGGTAAATGAACATGCATGTAAATTAATTGAGTTAAGTGATAAGTATAACAACGGAGAACATGGACAGTATAGCCTCTTAAGCAAAATTACTTTTGACAAATGTAAAAACTTTTTTGTATGTCAAGTATGTGGTTTTCGGAGCAGACTTCATACAAATGTTAACAGGCATGTTGCTATTGAACATACTAAAATTTTCCCTCATGTTTGTGATGACTGTGGGAAAGGCTTTTCAAGTATGCTAGAATATTGCAAACATTTGAATTCACATTTATCTGAAGGGATTTATTTATGTCAATACTGTGAATATTCAACAGGACAAATTGAAGATCTTAAAATTCATCTAGATTTTAAACATTCAGCTGACTTACCTCATAAATGTAGTGACTGCTTGATGAGGTTTGGAAATGAGAGGGAATTAATAAGTCACCTACCAGTCCATGAGACAACTTGATTATATTCTTTAACTGCCAAAATGTTAATGTAAAATAATAAATTTGACTTTTGGAGTTGTTAAAATGGATGATTTTTAAACAACTTATGAGAATTGTCTTTAACAAGTAAGTTTTTTTTTTAATTGTTCGATTTTCTTAGCGTTGCTACATTTTTCATTACATGTATCTTAAATATGGTATTTTCAGCGCAGGTAGTTCATAGTTCTAACCACTATTGGTGTCATCTTGTTTCTTATATAAGCTCTGATTTCATGAATTGATGAGAAACAGATGTACTGAAGAAACTATACTACAATTTTCGTTCTGTAACCGCGAGTGCTATTAACTTTTTTAAACTCAAGACAAGCTCAGTTTTTAATGTATGAAGTCATTAAAATGCAATGTAACATACAATTAAGTCTACTGATGCTCCCATTAATAAGAACCCAGACCCTCCTCTTGCATTCCCATCAGGAATTATCCCCGAGGCTATCAGTGGACTCTCCATCTGTGTAATTCTTTTAATAACACTAGGAGGCAAATGTTATAATAGGAAGAGAAGATCCAGTTTTGTTGGCAGTCTTTATTTTATTCTATTTTAGCCCTTATCCATGAGTTAAATAATTTAAGAAAGGAAGTAGTAAGGGGTTTGACAATAAAAAGTAACATTTCATTACTCACATCCTGTTAATGATTCATTGTAAGGTATGCAACAGCAGAGTCAGCCCAAACTTCTTGATGTCAAATCATGTATTGACTGAGAATACCCACTGTAATGGGTATATTAACACAGTAGTGTAAACATGGAATTAGGAAGATCTGGGAGATAAGGTATTCCTGGCCTTTCTTCTTAGCTTGTAGATGGCAGTCTTTATTCATGTGCTATTCTCTTTGTATACAAGCCTGTCTCCCAAATTTCCCTTCTTTATAAAATCACCAGTCATTAACTGGGTTAGTGTTATTTTAACCTAGTAAAGACCCTATCCCCAAATAAGGTCATATTTTGAGGTATTGGGGCTCAGGACTTCAACATATGCATTGGAGGATGGGAAGAAGAGAAACAACAACCACATTTCAATAGCTTCTTAAATAGCAGTATCACAAAAATAGAATTTTGTCTATCATTGGACTCTAATAAACACTGCCACTAACAATATTCATGTTCAGGAATATTGTTACAGTGGAAGAGATCAGTTTACAATATATGGTTCTCCCACTACAAGAACCATGGAAATGTAGCCTATTTTGAGAATGGTGACAGCAACAAGCTTTTTCAAAACCATTTTTATCTCTACTATTGCCATATATGGATAATTATATTCCTAGAAACTCATTTGATTGGAACATTACAGGTAGGGTTGCCCAATAAAAATGTTTCTTAGAAGACTTAAAGTCATAGTGGTTTAAACCGGCAGAGAATCTTAGAAACCATCTAGTCTAAACCCTCTAGTTTTCTATTGTAGAAATAGGCCAAGGTCACAAAATCAGTTGTAGCAGACGGGAGTGGAATCCAAATTATTTGGCTTTTAGTCTAGTGTTGTTTCCATTACATGGTGTTACATTAAGATCTAAAGTTTGTCCTTGGGGTGTTTTCCATGACTACTTAACCTAGTGACGCGGCTACCTTCTTGGTAATTCTGTTTTTATGCCTTTTTGATATACATCCAGGTTCCAGAATTTTATTTTCAGGAAACACACTTTAAATAAGTAATGCCTTGTTTTTATTTTCAGTTCTGTATTTTACTGCTTTACATTTGATCACACTAATCAAAGTGATTGTAATGAAACCTCAGGAGATATTAATCCAAGTCTTAGAACCATATTTAATTTTGTACTTTTTGATGAATCTGCAGCTTGAGGCCACATCTCACTGACAGTGTGTCCAATAAAAACGTTTTACTTTGACTTAACATTCAGATAAGTTGATGACACCAAAAATTGCTTGGAAAGCTGGTCTATATTTCTCGCTTAAAGAACTTCTTTGGAAAAACAACCCTACTTAAAAAGAAATTTTTCTCACTACTCTGAGTTTTTTATCCTCAAAAACAAACATTTCCACTGACCTCTTTTGTGACTTGAACCACACTTCAAGTCTAAGAATACATAATGATAGTGATGTTTATTAGCACTACAATTGAGTTCTTGGCATCAAGAATTCTTGGCAGTAATGTTGAGCCATTTTTTTCTTGCTTTTTTTATCTTCAACATTGCTGGAGTTATTACTTACTAAATTCCAAATTTCCGCTGTACTACAAAATTTGGAAGTGATTGTGCACAACTGCTCTCTTCCTGCTTGTAAATTTGCCAGTTTTACCACTTTAAATTACCTGATTTCCTGAATACGTGTCATCACGTGTTAACCAGTTTCTCCGTTTCACAGGACCTATATAGCCTGTTAGGTGATTGCTGGGTTGTTGGGAGGTGTAATATATACAGGTTTTTGGTTTTTGTGCTTTTTTTCCAATAGACTAACACTATCCCTAATTTTTAAATCTGATTTGCAAAGCATTGTATTTAATTCCTGGCACTCTACCGTTAACCTTACTTTGCTTGTTTTGTCAGTATTACTACCTTTTGCAAGAAGTTTAATATATTTCCCAAACTACTATGATTAATTTTTAATAGAATTTTTATGTCTAAAAACACTACGAGTTATAATTTGAAAAAGCTAATAAAAATCAAATGGCCACAGGGTGCCGGAGTGGCTCAGTCAGTTAAAGTGTCCAACTCTTGATTTCGGCTCAGGTCATGAGTTTGTGAGTTCAATCATCGCATCAGGCTGAGCGTGGAGCCTGCTTGAGATAGTCTCTCTATGTCTTCCCCCTGCCTCTCTCTCTGTTCCTCCCCCACTCATGCTTACTCTCTTCTCAAAAAAAAAAAAAGTTTAAAAATAAATAAAAAATCAAATGGCCACAATCCTCTTGGGAAATAGATTGGTTTACTAAAATAACAATACTCGTTAAAATTTTAAGTGAAAATAAATAGTTAAGACCGAATGTTAATCCCAATGGAGAAGCAAATTTGGTTGGTCAGATTTACCCTGCAATTAGCACAGTCTTAATCCTATAAATTAAGATGAAATTTGGGGATATATATTTCTTTACGTGTAACTTTAGGTTCTAATGACCGAAGATAGAGTATTTATAAGAATTTTTAGTCATGGCACTTAGGTTATGGATTTACATATGGATTTACATATATATATATATATATATACTCCTTATGTTGTCTTAATTTTCCATAAATCTGTTAAGACAACATTCAAATCTAAGAAAAATGTGTACATTTGTCTTGTAAAATAAAAATTCACAAAGCTAAAAGTTGTTGGGCGCCTGGATGACTCAGTCATTAGGCATCTGACTTCAGCTGAAGTCATGATCTCACCGGTTCATGTGTTCGAGTCCCACATCTGGTGAACGTGAGCCCAGTCTCAGGTGAGTCCTGCCTCTCTCAGTCTCTCTCTTTCTCACTGCCTCTTGTGGGATTCTCTCTCCTACCCCCATCTCTGCCCCTTGCTCACTTGCACACTCTCTCTCAAAAAAAAAAGCTAAAAGTTGTCACATGTAATTTACATGTTTACATGAAGTGATACGTTCAGTTTGTAAGTTTAAAGACTAAAAATTTTAAGAGTAAGAGTCATTTGAAGCCTGCTTCCGTGTAAGTGATGGAAAAATAATTTTCCAGGATAAAGACTGCATATTAAAGCATCAGTCACAACACTTCCTTAAATTCATTCTCCTTAGTAATCTTGGTGTTAAACGGTAACTTCAAACCCAAAGTAAATCACATTTGTGAAGAGTAATTTCTTCATTCTACAAAGAAACAATTTTCTCACTTTGCTATATGGGAGTATTATCTACTAGTACTATTCCCACAATTTAAGAAGGATGGTTACTTAGACAGTTTTTGTTTTGTTTATGTTTTTTTGTTTAAATATTTTTTATTTCTAGGGGAGAGAGAGAGAGAGAGAGACAGCGTGAGCAGGGGAGGGTCAGAGAGAGAGGGAGATACAGACTCTGAAATAGGCTCCAGGCTCTGAGCTGGCAGTCAGCACAGAGCCCGACGCGGGGCTCGAACCCACGTAGCGCGAGATCATGACCTAAGTGAAAGTCCGACGCTTAACCGACTAAGCCACCCAGGCGACCCCTTTATTTGTTTTTTAAGTAGGCTCCATGCTCCAACACGGGGCTTGAACTCAAGAGATCAAGATCTAAGCTGAGATCAAGACTGAGATGCTTAACCAACTGAGCTACCCAGGCACCACTAGTTAGAGAGTTTTTAAAAGAATTTTCGTTACCAAAACCTTTAAAAGTGTTAATTTTTATTTTTAAGAAGGCAAATGAATATAACTTGGATAGCCTTTCTCTTCCTAAAAATATTGAGCTGAATGAACATTGACCTGAAAAATTTAATGAAAAGCATGTTTTGAATGAAAACTCAAAAGTTTTCTAGTTTTTAATCTTACCCAGATAGTGTCTAGTACCAAAAAACATTATCGTTGAAATAATTGACACTTTTGTTGCTCTTCTTTTCAGAATAACCTGAGACCAATCATACCCACCGAATGTAATTTCTAGTGGGTAATTTTTTTCTTGTTTAATCTTCTGTTTAAAGGCCATTCACCATTCTGTTCTGAATTTTGATTGGCTGAAGTTTAAGAGGATTAAATTCTCTTTTCCTGAGTACCTTGTTCATTTTATTTCGGGTAACCTCTTCTTTTTATGTACTTATTCCTGTTTTTAAAACATTCCTCAAACAAAATCTTTGGTTAATTACTCTCATCTCTGCAACTCTTACACACCTCATTTAAGTCTCCAGAAAATCTCAAAAGAGTAAAGTTTTCCCAATTAACAAGGTGAGAGTAAATTTGTGTTCTTTAATTCTTCTATGCCCAAACTGGTAAAATAAGTAACTTCCTTCATACCATATACCACATCACTTGTGTCTATACTCTATAAATATTTTATATGTTCCAATCTAACAGCAGTTTGGCTGTACTGAATTTATAAATTTCAGCATGTCTATCTTGGATTTTAAGAAGCAGAATATCACGGCACAGATCTTAATAAATATGTCTTTATGGTTGCGAGATTATGGTTAAGTTCCTTATGGCACTGATCAGTGTTGTCTACTGAATAATTAAAATGCTCATTAACCTAGAATGACAGAATATTAGTCTGGGAGGGACCTCAGAGGTCATCTAAATCTAATCCAGACTCAAAGTGCACAACATATAAAAATAATTTTATGTGGTACAAGTTTTATTTTCATGGTTATAAATTGTATGTTAACTATCACATCAAATCTGATTACGAATATTTTTACTTGGGACAAAACTGACTTTTTAAGAAAAAAGCAAATTGATTTGAAGAAAAATATGAAGTAAATAATAATGATACATGGACATGGAAAAAATTGTATGATACATGGAAGATTAAAATTTGAGAATACAAAATTTAGATCTAAGTTTCTTGTTTATAGCTTAGAAAAGTGGTTCTCTAATACCATTAGGCAAATGTTTTTTTTAAGCTAGAAAAAGCAAAACTTCTAATTCCCACTATACTTCAAAATTTTTTCTTTAGAAAAAGTTTAAAAATGTGCCCTATTTTGGAAGCACCTGGATAGCTCAGTTGGTTAAGCCTCCAACTTCAACTTAGGTCATGACCTCAGAGTTCATGAGTTTGAGCCCCTTCTCAGACTCTATGCTGACAGCCTGGAGCCTGCCTCAGGTTCTGTGTCTCCCTCTCTCTCTGTGCCTCCCCAACTCTCTCTCCCTCTCTCTCTCCCAAAATATAAATAAACATTTTTTAATGTGGCCTATTTTTCACAGAATATTATAGTAGACACCTAAAGAGATAAAATGACATAATAGAGAATATTGGACCAAAGCATATGACTTTGATATTTGATCCCTGTTTGCTAACTATAATTGTGTGACTGTAACCATGGACAGTGGGTGTAATGTTACTAAATTTTTCTCAGATAATTCATGAACTCTCTGCAACTGCTTAAAAACTTCTATTTCACTACTCTTCAGTTTAACAAATAGCTATCGGATATCTACTATCAAGCCATGTGCTCAGTAATACAAGAATAAATAAACTACCGTTTTTGTCCTCAAAGAGACCACATATGGTATAAAACTCTTCTCTGTCACTTTTCTAAAGCCAATTTAGTTAAATATCAAATTGAGTGACTTTTGCACTTCTAAGTGTTTTTTTAATGTACAAGACTATCATAACATTCTTATATGTGTTGAGGATTTTTGGATTTGTTTTGGTTTTCTTTGGAGTGTGTGAGTGGGTTGAGTTATACATAGTATACCTGTGATTAAAATACTTCCAAAATATTTTTTAATTTTTTTTTTTTTTTAATTTCTGAGAGAGAGGGAGAGACAGCATGAGCCGGAGAAGGTCACAGAGAGGGAGACATAGAATCTGGAATAGGCTCCAGGCTCTGAGCTAGCTGTCAGCACAGAGCCCGATGCAGGGCTCGAACCCACAAACCGTGAGATCATGACCTGAGCCAAAGACGGACTCTTAACCAACTGAGCCACCCAGGCACCCCAAAATACTTCCAAAATATTATCCAGAATGGCTAAAGTTCATCTTCCCATCAGCAGACCATGTTTCCCTACATCCTCACCAAAAATTAATTTCATAGCATTTTTTACTTTTCTGTAGATCAGAGGGGCATAAAGTTGTATATTATTCAAATTTGCATTATCTAATTGCTAACAAGATTGGAAATGTCCATATGCTTATGAGACATTTTGGCTTCTTATTTTGTGAACTGCCTCTCCTGGTTGACTTTCAAAAGTTCTTTGTAAATTATAAATATTGATCCTTTGTTTTCTATGTACACTGCAAAAAAAATTCCCAGATTATTATGTTATTAATGTTCTGTTGAACAGAAATCCTTACTGTAGATAGATCCATTACATTTTCCCTTTACAAGCTTTGCTTTCTGCATCTTATTTACAGAATCTTCTTGAACTCCGGTGTCATAAAATTATTTTCCTACATTTTCTCCTAATAATTTTCTGGTTATACCCTTTATGTCTATATCTGAGTTTCTTTGTGTGTTGGTGTGATTCAAGTTGTTTTGTTTTGTTTTTTCATTCAAATGAGCCAATTTCTCTAATACTATTTGTTAAATAATGCATCTTCCCCCAGTGTTCATGACCTCATGTGTTCATGATACTCCTCATGGGCATGACTGGTATATGAATCTTTGTACTCATTGTATTCCTCTGTTCTAGTAACAGTATCACAGGCTTTAACAGATACAGTATGCTTAAAATATTAGGGCTTTGCAATATGTCTTAACATCAGATAGTGTGAGCTTATTTCCTCGACTTTTTTTTAAATTTTATTTTTAAATAATCTCTACACTCAATGTGGGGTTTGAACTCACAACCCCAGCATCAAGAGTCACATGCTTTTCTGACTGAGCAAGCCAGGTGTCCTCCTCTACTCTTCCTTTTGATAACTGTTTTAGTTATTGATGGACTTTTTCTTCTTCCATGTAAATTTAATTAATTAGATGGAATTATAATTCCATCTAAAGTCTTATTGTAATTACATGAAAATTATAAATCATTTTAGAGGGAATTAACATCTTTACAATGTTAAAATCTTCCCTTTTGTAAATATTGCATATTTCTCCACTTACTCAGGTCTCTTTTCAATGTTCTTTTTTTTAATTGTTTTT